GTGCAGGACTTGGATGCTATGGTAACACCCTGTAAGTTATCCCCATTCGAATTTTCGACGTTTTTTAGCTGCCAGCCGTTCAAAACCAGCCAATAACGAACGAAGACATTGTCATTCTCGAAATTCCATCCGGAGAGGATTTCCAGGACCACGTGGATGTACGCTGTGTCCTTGGAAAGGTTCCAGGATAAATGTTCGAGCTGCAGATGCGTGATATTCGTCTTTGCTGATGAATTCATCTTAAAAACACGTAATTTATTAGATTTTTAGTGATAAATTTAATATTTTTTAAGTATACTTGGTTTAGAATTAAGACTTCTTTGTTAATTTCGCTGTTTTTTCGTGTTACACCATCAAGTGAGGCGTTTTCGATGAAATAAGTATAAGTTTTAGTCTCGTCCGATGTGACTTTCAATTGATAACCGTCGAAAGTCGTAAAATCCGGCGTGATTTTCAACATTTTTGACTGGGAATTGTAACTTATTGTGCAGAGGATGTATTCGGATGGCAGCCATGTTGAATTATAATATTCTCCGAAGTCCGCCATGATGTAAAATGTTTTCGTTTCGGTAGAATCGGAAAAATCCATATTTAACACTGGGTTTTTGATATTTTCACTTAAAAGATCAAAATAATCAAAATTTTTAGTTTTCTCTTCGTTTTCTTCTTCTTCTGCGTCAGTTTCTTCATCTTTCGAGTGTAGATATAACTTATCCATCATTTTATTCAGCATATTATGTTGGATATCTTCATTGTCGGGTTTCGCAGGATTTTTGCGACTTTTTCGCGTAAAATTTATCTCTGGCGGCGTGTGACCGTCTTTTTCCACATAAGAAAATATTGTGGATATTGAATGTTGTGTTCCACGTCCCCGACGGGTTTCTTTTAAAATTTGTTGATGATATTCTTTGTCTAAATCGGTGAGGCAGTTTTCAGCGCGTTGAAATCTCTCGCGTTCTTGATGCGAAAAGCGTTTCTGCTGCCATTTGAATGTGGAAACATCTTCGTCGTCCGGAGATGTTTCATCAATCAAACGAATACTTAATTGATTAATATTAATGTAGTTTATTGTTAATTTGTTTATAATTAACTTACCGTAACGCGAAATTCTTTATATCATCAACAGTATGATAAATTCGGGTGAATTTCTGCGATATTTCTTCGATTTGAATCATTTTTCATGAATATTTCGAGGTTTTTTGTTTGTTTTGAAAGTAGGATACAAACAAATGTAGGTACTATAGGCAACCTAATATGCACGCAACATATTCTTATTTAACAAATTTACGTTTTTAACTTGTTTTAAAACAAAAAACGTTAAATATGTTTGTGATTTATTGAAATCTTATGATTTTAATCATTTTTATTAATATTTTGAGGGTTTTTTCGTTTTCGAAGTAAGGATACTAATAAATTATTGTCAGGTGATATAGGCAACCAAATATACACCCAACATACGCGTTTTCAACTTTGTTGATTGATTTTTTAAAGTTTTTAACATGTTTCAAAGCAAACCAACGG